AAATGCTCATAACTTGTTTTAAAATTAAAATATCGAAAAATCCTTCTTGGATACTAAAAAATATTCTCGCCTACATTATTATTTACTATGAGATAGAAATTTTGTATAATTAGATTAATTAAGGTTAAAATTGATTTATATTCATTTAATTTTAAATGTTATCCAACGAAGAGCGGGGTATRTATTTGATGGTTGATACGAACGTGAGCTGATATTTGCATTACAAATACACAAAAATGTAAAAATACCGTAATAAATTTAAATGTAAGATCATTGAACTTTTAAAAGAYTTTGTCCAGAAGAAAATGAGAAACACGACTTTTACGTTTATTATAAATTGTGCATTTGCATAAAGAATATTAAAACAGAAATATCTAAAGTTATTTAATTTTTAACTAATGTTACAGGCGCATAGTCGACGTCATGACTTAATTTTTGGTGGAAAATTTGCGGCGTACTTAAAATTATTGTTTTTTAATTAAAGCAAACAATTTTTCTTATTATTTATTGTTAAAAAAATATTAATTTAATAGTCGGTATATGTTATTAAATTTCTAATAATTAGGTGCTTATARCATTCTATATTGATTAACTTTTACGAGAATAATAAATCGTAATTATGCTGTACTTAAGTATAGTTGTAAAATTGATATAAATTATWAATTATTTATATAACTACAAAATCATATACTTTTAATTCATTAAGTTAAATATTTAATAATAAAAATCATACAAATTAACCGGATGTAACTTGTTATTTCGTATAAAATAAAATTTGCGTCTAATAAATCGACTCTAAAGACTAGAAGTAGGTACCTACTGAAAGTGTTTGATAACTAAAAATAAAGAAGTAATTGGTATTTTTATAATTATAATTATTATTGCGTCCTCAYAGGAAGGTCAAATATTGAGAAATCATCGTTATAATTATTATTGCGTTTGATAATAGATTTTTACTTATTATTCATTTTACTTCACRCCTAATTTGTCTCTAATCCTCTCGAAGGGTCATAAAAACCGGTTTCAACACCCTAATGGACAGATGTGTTAATAATAATATACAATATATTATAATGCGAGGGGTGAATCGGTACGTGGGGCGGTGGCAACTAAATAATAATCCTTATCGATTACGGTCAACAGCTGCTAACCTGGATTCCCTGGTCCTCCGCACGGTYCCCAGTGCATTGGTGTTGCCGCTGGGCGTCCTCCTACCCAGGCCACTGGAATAGCTTCTCTCCTTGGAGGAGCCTTCCGCCTGGAAGTTCTTCCGGAAAAGTATGTTCATGTCGCGAGGTCGGATACCTATAGCKCAGCGGCAAACGAATTTATCTACTACCCTATTATGCCTACCTACCTATCTACCTATCTATAGTCTATACGATAATAATATAGTAATGAAAATATCTCGCGACGAAATAAACTGCGGCGTGTAACAATGTCACGAATCCGTTTCGTGTGATGCGCGAGCARCATCACGTTTTTGTGTATTCATATTTTTTTAAAATTATTATTGTGTGTTCACTATACGCACGTCAGCGGACAACTGCGTGCGTTTGTAACTCTCACTATATGATGATGTGTGTGGCTTAGTCTGGTGTAGTATCCGTCGTGKGATAGATTCTATTTATAAACGTTGGCGCCCTTTGTGGGAAGAACCCTTGCCAATTTACCCGTATTATAACGAACACACCGCGGTAACGAAATTGACGATTTTCGTTCGATTCCGCGGTATAACACGAATATCGTAATAATATTGCATTAATGTTTTCGCTGACGTACACCACACACGGCACTATTACGTYGGAGAATATATAATATTTTAAAAATAACTCGTAATGTAAACGATAGGTGTCCATCTTCGTGCATTCTTTTTTTTTCTTTTTTTTAGCACGGAATAACTTCTATTTAATAATATTTCACAAACGTCGTTTCAAACATTTGTCGATTTGTACTTTGCGGGCAGAGACCAATACACTCAAATATATAATTGCGTTTACTATAATAGTATATAATGCTTTTTATTGCATTCATCTAGGTACGTATAAATACATATAATTTTATGCGTATAAAACTATTATAGTTTTCATCTTAAGTACATCAAATATTTTATACACGGTAATATAATTTACGAAAAAAATAAACAAACAAATAAATAAAACATCAACAAAAACAATATAACAGCTGAATACATAATACAGTTAGAACAAAAATTACAATCGGCATTATTATTATGTAATAATAATGCGTGAAATAAAGTCTTAAATAATACTTGGATGAAAACCATCATAAAGCATGTTTAAAGTATTGACAAGAGATTGGATTTGTATTAAAAAAAATATTTCAGTCATTGCAGGTATGTAATGGTAAAGGAGCGTCGCGTCTATTGGTAATTTTATAGTTCACATCAGCTACAATCAATATCTATATACGATAAGTCAATATTGTGCGGTCTCCCCGGCTGTTTTCCGCGGTGTATAAAATGGTCAACAGCTATAAAATTATGCCATTAGCATAGTGGGCTCGTAATGTCGTTCAACTAAAAGTAGGTACTTAGCTTAAGGACTAGACGGTTTGGTGGTAGAAATATTAATATTGAAACTTGAAAAGAACAAAACAAAAAAAAACAAAACCCGCGGATTTTCACCATTGGTTGCAAAATGTTTATGTAATATGTATACATAATATTATAATTATGTACAAACGCATTTTTTAGCATTCGACGTACCAAAGACGTATGTTAAGCTGAACACTGTTCAAAAATAAAACATAAAATTCGGTGTTTACATTCCACCCTATACGCCATATGATTTATATAATGGGAGTTACTGGTGTGTAAAAAAAAAAAAAATAAAAAATAATCACGTCGTTCAATTTTGAACACGGCACAATAAGGTACAATAATATGCTGATTTATAACGTTTCTTGCAATGCATTTCTTCCCATTGTGTCATGTTTACCGTGCCCGTGCGATTATTCCGAACGATTGAATTCGTTGAAAACGCGAAAAAGTATGTGTAGATAAACAAGAAGAAAAAATATATTATGAATATTCGATTTTCGGGGAGACTTCTAGATGTACACATTTTAGATTCTGCGATATTAGTAAACCTCCTATATACATAATATATATTATATACTGTAGATATGTATATATTTGCATATTATGTGTACTACTTATCGCCTACAGGTACAATATAAAATATATTTGGACTATAAAATATAACGGCGGTACGCGAGTAGAGYGTCATCTATATAGGAATCGATTCTTTCCCTGTCAAATGTACTATTGTGATATCATGCACGGCTAGAGCGTGGTCGTCAAATGAAAACGATTTCGGGTCATACCACATTAAAATAAATCACCTAAGTCATTATGTTTATTACATATAATAATGTGAATACCAATAAGACTTCCGGGACTTCAGAAAAGAAAAAAAAAACTTTGGACGACACCTATAACACCAGAGGCGGTAGCCGCGGGTTCGGCGCTCGCGGGGGAAATACTTTATGAAGTATGATATAATGTAATTAAATAATATTGTCGTCGGCCTCCTGCGGGATTTCTAAAACGCATAATTTATTATACGTACACACAGTGATGACTACACTCCGTACGTATATTATTAGATACAGMAAAACTTCGGTAAGACGGAAACAAACGGAGGACAATAATATTCCACGATTGGTCCCGATTCGGATGCATAACGGATATGAACCCCCCTCTCCCCCCTAACATGTCGGAAACCGCGTCGGTGATGTGACCGAAAAATATTTTATCCGGTCCCGAGCGATTCCGTCTTAGCGAGGTTTTACTGTTGTCGCGTAGCGCGCACACGATATCGCATCGATTGCGGTTGTCGGGGACCGCGTGGCCGGATCACGGCGATTCCAAATCGGATATCCGGCGAATCGATCTGTACAGATTCAGCGGCGGCATGTTAGGATGTTCGATGCGCGTGGGCGACGACACGTGCGGTCTGATCGTCTGGTACTCGGGCATGGCGCGGCGGATGGTGTTGATCTGCTGGTATTCGTGTTGCTGCTCGTACGGATAGTAGGCGCCGTTCTCGAAGTTCGGGTTGGCGATGGTCTGCGGGTGGTGGTGCACCGGTCGCCGAGTCGTGGCCGTCGTGTCGATGTTGCCCGTGGGCGACAGCGTGGCCCAAAACGTCTTCGGCGATATGTCGATCGTGTCGTACAGCGGCGGGCTCTTCTTTGGCTCCGGACTGAAGTCCGATTTGCTCCAACGTTTTTTACTGCAAACAAAACGCGTGTCGGTTATTGCATGTAGTGTCGCGAAACACACACAAAAAACAAAATCGGTTCAAAATTAGCTTATATTGTCCTAAGTCAAGTTAAACTCAAGATCGAATGGCGTGTTAATAATTTGTGCATTAATGCGTTGATAATTAAAAAAAAAAAAAAAATACAAGTACTTAGCTTAAGCATTCGAGTATTTTGAGATCGCATCGAATCGCGTGTTATATAATATAGTGCTCATTAGAGATGCTATTAATAATTATCATTGTATTCAAATGAGGATTTATAAGTAGGTATATACTATATAATATTCATWACTCATTATCGTTCATTTGAGKTCATTCGGGTGTGTTATGTAGGTAATGCGACATCTATTATAGATGTTTAGAAATTCGTTTTCTTTAGAAAGGAATCGATATAGATGTATATTATATCAATTATTTGAAATTATAATAAATAATGCACTAACACGCATCATATTATGTTAACAACAATAACCAAGTAATAACAAATATTATACTGTGACATTGTATAAAAAAATGTGTTTTGTTGATTTTTGCGTAGTAGGTATATAATATTCGTKTACGTGTAGTGTATACGTCATGGATATTATGTTGAAATAAATCTATTTCAATCTCGTCAACACGTATTTAGGCATAATATGTCAAACACAGGGCGTATTTGTACTCACTCTCTCAGCCGGACGACTACCACTAGTATCACTGTCCCGATCAACATCACTCCGAGTAGGCATGTGGACAGCAACATCCACCAGGAGTAAGTCTCGATGATAGGCCCTGGAAAGAGTTTTCATTATATATTATACAGTGTTTATACCAATGACGGACGTTTCGTAATTAATATTTAAAAACTTTTGTACTTTTTGTATGCACATATATATTATAATGTATATTAAATGTGTTATTAGAAATACAAACGATTATACGTTTCAAAATAATTACTAAAACCAAACAGGAATAGACAATACAATCGAGTCGCGACGACTCGAACCTCGATAAGTCGAAAAGCTGGACAACTCGAATTTTTTTTTTTTATTCCCCTATATTAATTATTTAGATTTCTCGAAGCGAATTTTTAACTCCCTTCAACTTCGAGTTATCACTATTCGACTGCATAGTATAATGTATATAGGAATCAAATTCTGGATAAAATTGTTCAGGGCGATGAGTGTCTTTTACGCTGCAGCGCACAGGTCGTACGTCATCATTTATTATTATTACCTTGTTGCGGCAACTCGACAAAACCCACCCCTTGGTCAGTATCGCACATGGCTTTGCACGGTTTGCCAGGTTCCAGTTCGTTGGTTTCCATCAACATATCTTTGTTCGGCGAGTTTGATTCATTGCTTCCCGACTGATCGTTCAAGACGGCGGCCAAAAACGATGGCATCGGAGGCGGCGGCATGTCCAGTATGGACGGCGGCGGACCCAGATCTCCGCATTCACGGCCGGTCGCGTCCATACAAGCGGCCACCGTGGCTATACACAGGCCTGACCCGATTAAGTAAATCCTCATGACGGCGGCGACGGCAGCAGCTACGTGTTCTATTAATACAACACGAACGAAGTAAGTAAGTAATTAATTAATTTCATAAAAGAAATACATCAAACAATATTATTACCGGTAAAACATTCAAAATAGTTTAATTAAATATCAACGTTATTTTGTTGCAGTTGAATTCGAGTAAAAAATTGTACATTTTTTTTATACTGTAATTCATTTGTTGTACGATAAAGGAATAATAATGAACATCAATACAATATCTTGTCATAACAATTATTTTTGTTGTTTTATTTTAAGTTTTAACCATAAATTCGTTCAACTATTATTATTTATTTTATATCAAAACCATATTCATACTTTATACTTCATACTTTAATATTTTTATATTTTATAAAGTCTATTACTACTATACTATTATACTATTCTCCCTTAGGCTGTAGGTTTATTTTACAATTTTGGAAATGCGTGGAATAATTTTCAACAAGTCGAAAACGTCGAAACAAGAACGTCGAAAAAATATTTTAGTTTTGYTTAAAGTCATATACTATTATAGTATACGGAGATGGTAAATTCCATTATATCAAACGATTGCTTTAGGCATTTTTGAAGTAGTATCTAACTGATGTGAAACTCTATTTATCAACTTGCCGTGACAGTCTACATCATTTTGAAATTGTGTTTACCCTCGGAGCACATTTCTTAAAACGGAAATTATACATATATGTCTAATAATATTGTGTATTCTATCTACTATCTGCCCTGTGAAATGACTATTGAAAAATGAGGTTGCGAGGGTGAAACAATCGATCGGCTTACAGTGGGGGGATGRTGATTGACAGTTTTTGATTACCATTGTACATTGGTGACGTCATTTTTAAAAGTACTCACGAAAAAAAGTAATAAACATTTAATGCTATAATGTATTGTAGTAGT